CCGCACTCCGGTCTGGGCGACAGAGTGAGACTCCAACTCAAAAAAAAAAAAAGATGTGGGGTACAATTCAGGGTTAGGTATATAAACATTGATTATGCAGGTACCATTGTTGATGAGGTATGCCCCTCCCTCCCCTAGCAGTTTCCCTCAACCGCCAATCCTATCTCCCTCCCCTGACAGTTTTCCACTACTGACCATCGCTTTCTTATAGTATTATAATTGTTCAAGGTCCGCTTATGAGTGAGAACATATGGTACTCTGTTCTTTGTTTCTGTGATAGATCATTGAATATGTTAGACTCTAAATCCATCCAAGTTGCTGCGAAGTCCATATGTTTGTCCTTCTTTATGACTGCATAATATTCCATTGTGTATATGTACCACATTTTTTAAATCCAGTCCAGCTTCGATGGGCAACATGGTTGGTTCCACGTTTTAGCTATTGTGAATAGAGATGCAACAAACATACGTGCACAGGTATCTTTTTTGTAGAATGATTTGAGTTCTTCTGGGTATAGTCCCAGTAGGGGAATTGCTGGGTCATAAGGAAGGTCAAATTCTAGTTCTTTCAGAAATCGCCACACTGTCTTCCAAAGAGGTTGCACTAGTAATTGCATTCCCACCAGCAGTGTAGAAGCATTCCTTTTTCTCCACATCCTCGCCAGCATCTGTTGTTGTTGGTTTTATTAATGATGGCCATTCTTAGTTAGGTGGTATCGCAGTGTGGTTTCGATTTGTATTTCTCTGATGATGAGTGAGGCTGAGCACTTTTTCATGTGTCTGTTGGCTGCCCGTATATCTTCTTTAGAGAAGTGTCTATTCTTGTCTTTTGCCCATTTTTCAATGGGGCTGTTTGTTAAACAGGAAATTAACAACCTAAATAGTAATATCTGTTTCATGTGCTGGTTATGTTTTATCCTCATGTGTTAAAATAAACAAAATATGTGCTATGAAACTAAAATAATATCTCATTCCATTGTTTCTTTGCATGCATGGGAAGCGAGATAGTCCTAGGCTCTGAGGAAGGCAGGAGGGACCTTATCTGATCTTCCACAGTTGTAGCAATCCCCTGGAAAATGCTAAGGAGTCAAGAAATACAGTAGAGCAACAGACAGTAAACCCAAAGACCTGGAACGGACCAGGACTGGGAAGGTAGGCAGAGAGAAGAAAATGGCCCAGTGAGGTCTGATATGGAGATTGAATAATGTTACTTCCATTTCACTTTATTGCTTGAAGCAACTCACACGTCCGGTCCAGATTCAAGAGGCGAGGAATTTGTCTCCACCTCTGATGGGAGGGACTGCAAAGAATTTGTGACCATTTTTGACCCACCAAACACTCAACAGAGTCAATGACATAATTCAAAAGAGGCAACATTAATTTGGAATGTCTCCAATGTTATGTTCTTTTGAAGATATAATATGTTTAGAACTGAACTGTACACAATTAGATCAGGTAGAAGAGGAAGATGTCTACAGTTTTA